AGTACAAACCATAGAAATAAAATTAAAACAATATATTCCATTTCAAATGCATTTTTTTTTTGCATTAAATTAATGTACAATAACTAGGGAATGTTATGTAAAGTGCAATTCTACATTCTCTTCGATTGACTTGAATATGTTTATGACTAGCATTTATTTCATGTACAACAAATCCACTAAGTTTCAATCGACATAGTCACATAGCATCTCCTTATTTGAAATAAGCCATAAGGCATTATATTTGGTATTTTAATATCTTAATTATTACAGAAATGATTGCACAAGTCATGAGTTTTGACAAATGTTGATCTATATTTTCAATATTAACCCATTAAGCACCAGCGCTCTCCCCTTAATGAGTGAAATCATCAGGCGTTAGACAAAGTAAAATAATAAATTAGGGCACAATGCGACTCAATGTGTTAACAACACACATGGGCAGATAGGCCAGTTAATCCATTAAGCACGGTCGGTGCTCTCCCCTTAATGAGTGAAATTGTCTGGCGTTAGAAAGAGTAAAATAATAAATTAGGGCGCAATGCGACTCAATGGGTTAACTAGACACATGGGCAGATAGGCTAGTTAACACATTAAGCGCCAGCGCTCTGCCCTTAATGAGTAAAATTGTCCTGCGATAGGCAGAGTAAAATAATAAATTAGGCCGCATTAGGGCACAATGCAACTCAATGGGTTAACTATAAACATGGGCAGATAGGCTAGTTAACACATTAACCGCCAGTGCTCTCCCCTTGATAAGTAAAGTTGCTTAGCGTTAGATAGCCAGAGTAAAATAATAAATACTTAGGCCCCGTTTACATGAGACCGGAACGAAGTCAAACCGGGACCATCTCGTTTCGGTCATAGTATTATCTATAATAGATGTTTACATGAGACCGGGACAAAAATAACTCAGACCGGTCTCAAGTCATTCCGCCTTCTGGACCGAACCGACTGACTTCAGACCGGCATGAATTCAGACCGGGATGAATGTAAACACAAATACATTTCAGACCGGTCTCGGCTGTAATCTTGACATTGGAACAACGCATGCTAGCAAAAGCCACCTGAAAAAGAAAATTGCCTGGCAAGGGGAATAAATTGAAGATTTTGTGATCCTCGTACCGGTCTCATGTAAACATGTTGACAATTTCAATTTTCATTCCGGTTTGACTTCGTCCCGGTCTCATGTAAACGGGGCCTTAGTGCGCATCAGGGCGCAATGCGACTCAATGGGTTATTAACATCAACAATGTTTCAAATGTCAAATCTGCCATGCTCAATATAATCATAGATTCAACTATTAATTTGACATGTAAGTCAGATGTCCTGTATACAACAACATCAATATACAGTATACTATTAATTAATTAATCAATCAGCCACAAAATTGTCAATCGTGTATTATTCTCGGCCTAAAAGCTAAACCTATTAATCCTAGTTGGTGTTTAGTTTGGCTTTTGCTGCTACTGAAACGACTTTTATATAATTATGTGATTACAGCTCGGAATTACAGTGGGTTCTGCATAAGATTTTATCTGGATTCGATGTTTCACTATTTAGTATCAAGTAAAATCAACAAATAATTATGGATCAAACGAGGATGAGAGTATTTTAATTAAGTTTAAACATAGTTGGAACACTCATCAAAGCTTTAATAATATTTTGTTCATCTGGAACTTGAAATGTCCTTTGTGTATTTATAAGCAATTCATGCATGACTTTCATCCTCATTTGACCGAGGCTATAATCTAAAATACCAGTTTAAAAACTTACATTATCAAATGAACCAGTGTTGCCAGTATGCCTGATTCAGGAGATGACTCTTGATTGGGAAAAGTTAAACTAGACTGGGCTACTAGCAAGTGATATGTCGCAGGATTCGAGCTAGTTGTGAACTGGATATTTCAATGTTGTGTGCACTTTTTTCATCGTCGCTGTCACTTTCAACTAGAACCTACATATACAAAAAATAGATAATCTTACATTCAAACGTGTTTCGTATCGTAAATGTGAAGCTATAAGAACATATTTTGAATAATTGATGTCCGCTGTCGTGATTTGGCCATCAGCAAACAACAGTCGTCGACACGAAGGTGAAGAAAGTAAATAACATTTGCCAGAATTAGGCTAGTACAGCACGAGACGTTTCTTGAACGTATTTTCCTAATAAATTGTTTATTTGTCCAAACTATACTGCAACGAACGAGGTTTTACGCTTGTATTTTATCCGTATCCCTCGTCGAAGCAAATCCCAACGGCCAACGTTCGATAATGGCGCCAAAAGTTAGTACGCATGCTCGAGAATGATCGCAAACCCGATTGCTTACGGGCGCGTGCATTCTCGTTCCCAGTTCCCGCGATCATTAATATTACACCTAGGCCTTATTCTATGATTACACGTTCAATTCTCGTAATTAATTTTTACAAATACCGTATTTATATTTACGATAAAATTACTAAAAATCTGGAAAACAAATTTCAATACCCTACAAAATGAAACATCAAATCTCACCTTGTATAATCCAAAAAACGTCCTCTTCTTTTTCTTTGCGAGCATGTGCATTCTTTAAGTTTTATGCGGAAGTTAATTTGATACGATCATACGACGGACGATCGACACAATTAAGAGTCGATTGGACAGAAGGGTCGATTTGACAGAATTAAGACTGTCGATTTGACGGAAGGGTCGATTTGACACAATATTAATAGTCGATTTGACACAATTAAGAGTCGGTTTGACAGAAGAGTCGAATTGACACATTTACGAGTCGATTCGACAGAAGGGTTGATTTGACACATTTAAGAGTCGATTTGACAAAAGGGTCAATTTGACACAATTAAGAGTCGATTTGACAGAAGGGTCGATTTGACATATTTAAGAGTCGATTTGACAGAAGGGTCGTTTCGACAAAAGGGTCGATTTCATTCCAGGGTCGATTTGACCTATGCGAGAGTCGTTTCGCGATGGAGAGCCGAAACAAAGCTCATAGGGGCCAATGTGTTGATCAAAAGCGGCCCCTTTATGTGGGGCCAAAACAAACCCGGACGTGAGAGTCGTTTTGGTCTGTGGGGCCATATTGGCAATTGATGGGGCTAAATTGGAAAATGATGGGTCCGTTACGGCAAAGGGTAGGGCCAATTTGACTTTCCTCCATACCTAAAATGGCTCCGTCGGTGCCGATCCAGCTCTCCAATGCCAAAATGGCTTTCACATAGGGCCAAAACAGCTTTGGCCCCAAAAGGGCTGAAACGGAATTTGGGGTCGATTTGGCCCTTTTTAATTTACAGTGTAGGTAATAAATATTGGTCAAACACCCCGCCATTTTGCAATACATTGCAATAAATACTATATTAACAAAAGTCATTTTGGTTCAAATTGCCCTAGCTCGGGCCGAAAATGCTAATCAAAATCACCAGAGTGGGAATGCAATTGATGATCAAATACACAACATATGCCCACCCCCACCTGGGGCTTGACATTGATAGGTGCAATTATATGCAGGTTTTTTTTATTCTCATGTAATGTACCACGTGTTATTGCGGGACCTTTGATCGATATGTATATAAATAGACATATTTTTTTCTGTGTTAGTGTCATTACAGGTGAATATGATGCTTGTGATGTTACTCTGAGTGTATATCCACACCAGGCAAGCTTGAAAAATATGCCTGACCACGGTGGAAATCGAACCAACGACCTTTGGAATACTAGCCCAATGCTCAACCAACTGAGCTACGCGGTCTGGTCGGTTCGAGTATCTGATATTTCGGAACATAATCTAGTTCCTTCGATATCAATGTTACCTAATGGACTAGAAAAAAATGGATAAGGAACTAGACACTGTTCCGAAATATCAGATACTCGAACCGACCAGATCGCGTAGCTCAGTTGATTGAGCATTGCGCTAGTATTCCAAAGGTCGTAGGTTCGATTTCCACCTTGGCCGGGCATATTTTTCAAGCTTGCCCTGTGTGGATACACACTCAGAGTAACATCACAAGCAAGACATATTTTTGTTTTGTTGTCGCATTAATTTTAATGAAATATTGCTCACCAAGTTGGTGAATGTACAAACTATTTATTTCTTCATTTAGTACAGCACATGTTACAATTATGTACTTGTCTTAATTGCATGAGTGTTCATGACAGACATTGTTATATTTTAATTGTGAATACCCATGCACTTATGATTAACCTAGTTTTTGTTTATTAAAATCTAAAAAGTTAGCCAACTGAAATAGCATCATTTCTATACCTTGCCGGTTAAACCTAGTCAGTTACAATTATATCACAAACATCTGTCAACGTACACTCGTGCTCTTCCTTACCACTTGAGTCTCCCAGTCACCACGTTGCTTTATGAAACTTTTTTGATAAATATACTTGATATGCTGAACATAGACCTCTAAGATATCTCCTGTGGCAATTAGTGGGTGCAAATACTCTCACAGTTGAGAAGCAATATAACCAATATGTGTCCATCCAGTTCCATAGTCTACATCAATTGAAATTACACTTGGGTCCATTGGATTCAATGGCTCTGGCCGTATTCTTACATTCACTGGTTTATCTTGTCCACGAAGAGCAAGGTACGTATGCCTGTTCCAAATGATGTTGGTAATTTTTCTCATGAGCAGCACCGATGCACTTGAATGGTACAGCATCGGTGATTTCATCCTCGTCACTTTCATCCTCATCACTTAAGTGGTCACCACGTTCTGGCCTATTACCTTCATTACCATTTCCATGCTGACCAGGTTCAAGACCAACCAACCACTCAAGTACAGTAGATCTCTTTCTGCGAAATCATACCAAGAAAATTTTTATTATATTATTTTGTACATAAACTGTAATCTCTAAAATTAGCAATTTAATGCAAAAGTTTGTCACTATTTACAGTGATACTTATAGAACAACACAAATATGGCTATAATTTACAGATGAGAATTGAAAAATATCTAACTATTGTATGCACATATATGTGAGAATCTATCCACAACCAGATACAAACAGGCATCATACTTCAGCAAAAATTTATTAAACAATTTGTTTAACTCAAAGCATGTACATATGTATCACAGTGACACAGTACATAGACACACACAATAGGGTCAAACTAGAGGAATTAAACACAAATATTACGCCATAATTTTGTACAGTGTATTTATAAAAGTACAGTACAAGGTTAAAAACAACAAAGCGGATAATAACTTGACTAAATAACAAGATAACTGTAATGCATTGCAGTATACCAACCTTAAATATTGCGCTTGTTTTCATGTTGATGATATACGGAGATTCAACGTCATCCAAGTTAGAAAGAAGAGCCTCGCTATTGGGAATATAAACACAATTCCCTCGCTCAGACGCATTATTTATAAAGCTAAAATGACAGCATGTCCCATGCAATTTAAAAAAGGTAAACTTGGTATAATAAACACAAGTCATAATGATGATCGCAATAATAATATAATAATAACATGCTGTTTCTTTTCACAAAGTATCGCAGTCTGACTCTCTTGTCGTTCGAAAGCTTCCATATATAATTGGTTTAATCAGAGAGATGTTCACTCCTCGACAGTCGACAGTCAACGAGGCTACGCGCGGAATTAGGCGCTCAATACCCATAATAGTTTGCGGCCTGCTGTCAAACCTCCTCTGATGATGCGCTGGCCGCCGTTTTTCAGTCCTGTAATTATGTAAATTAACTCTGATCAAAATAAAAATATAAATGCTGCATATTCTTATATTACTTGTGTAATTCCTTAAAAAATTATTTGACCACGCTGCATACACAACATAATTAGTTTGAAAAATACACTCCAGATTCTGCCCTAAGAGTGGAATTTATAATCATACCACGTGAGTTTACTGCGTTACGTAAATAATTTATTATCTAACTAATTAATTTAATGCAAAAAATGAAACATCGCTGAAACTTTCTCATGCAGTTTAATAGACAATCTCCACTAAAACCGAGCAAAATCGACTGATACGTGGCACATGAGGAAAAATAAAGATCTTCTTATTTTTTCCCGTGATACTCTAATGTGTACTCAGAAACGTGGTGGAGTTTGTTTTCTGAGATATTATTTTAAACGCCGAAAATTATCAAAATCTGACATATATACCCGAGATTCGCGAAATTAGCAAAACAAAAGGGGAGCCACGGCCTTTCGAAAATTTCGTTTTTCTCAATTGGCGTCTAATGAAACCTCGTCTTTCGTTTTTAAGCGTGTTTATTCGATGTTTATAAAGTCCAATTTGCAATTTTTGAAATGATTTTTCAATGTGAAGACAAGCGTGTAAAAATCGCCTTTTTTTGCGATCAAAAATTTCTAAATTGGCACACTTTTTGAAAATTAATTTTCCGTATCCGGGAAAACTCCAATTTCCTTGAAATTTAGGTAATTTATTTAGAGAATCTAAAAGCTGATGCAAAAATTATTTTGGGGCTTTTTGTTACCGCGGAATTAAACTGACTATAATATCAAGAAAATCACAAGAAAAACCTTAAAAATCCTCAGACGATTAGGCACCTTGCTTCAACTATAGATCGACTTCATAATTTTTGCTTGTTTTCTCTTGTTATTTAATTAAAGGAAATATAAGACGTAGATCATTTTAAACTAGTTTGCCTATTTTTAGATAAAAATACGCTGTTAGACTCTTCCAAGACTACGATTTCCGCTTTAAAATCATATTTCAATTGATCGATCGCCAATTAAAATAAACTAGAAACATATAATAGTTTTGTTTGTGGAAACACCACGTAAATTTATTACTGCAGTAATAAATTTACGTGGTGTTTCCACAAACAAAACTATTATATGTTTTATCGCCATGCAAACATACAAAGAACTTATAAACTATAGTATACAAATAATGAATGTTTATGAGTGCAATGGTAAGAATATTTTCATGAGGTGAAAGATGGAATGTTCCATTCAACGAGGCGACAGCCGAGTTGAATGGAACATTCCATCTTTCACCGAATGAAAATATTCTTACCATTGCACGAAGAAACATTCATTATTTGTTTTATATAATACCAAATGTCCAGAACAGACTAATAGATTCGTATGAGAAGCATTTTAAGGGATGCGATTTATCGAACACACAACGAATGCAATTGTACTATACGTTTTATTCCATTGCACTCGCGGAGAGTGCAATGGAACGCGTTCCATTGCACTCTTGGGAAATGGAATTTTCTATTCAATATCACGTGACCATAAACAGCCAATTAAACGATTAGAATTTAATAAGGTATTATATAAAAACACTTGTACACTCGCTAGATTCACTTGTACACTCGCTAGAGTTTTCAACTTTTTTAAAAAAATAGCTTTTAAAAAAGTTTTAAAAGGTTTTAAAAGAGTTCTGAAAAGCAAGAAAAGTTTAAAAAGTTAGATTTTTAAAAAAGTTAAAAAAATTGAAAAAGTTAAAAAAATTAGTGGTTAGTGGTTAGGGTTAGGGGTTAGGGTTAGGGGTTAGTGGTTAGGGTGGGGGTTGGGGTTAGGGTTAGTGTTAGGTGCCGCGAATTTATTATTATGATAAATTCAAAATTTGCCGCGAATTTATCATAGTGATAAATTCGGACGTGTTTAAGAATTTACTCATATAGTAAATTCAAAGGTGGAGCTCATGCTGATACACCCCCCCCCCCACCCCCACCATTACCACGTCTAGGAACGGCCCTGTAAAGGGAAATAGCATGAATGTAGAAATTAGATTCCCTTATCTGAAAAAACTTTTAAAATGACGTGGAAAATATTTTAAAGCTTTTCTTAAGGTGGAGAATGGAGCTAAACTGTGGAATTCAGTATCTAAATGCAACTGGCGCTTATAATTCGAGTTTGTGTAATTGTCGAGGGTCGTACGTCGAGGTCGAGGGTCAAAAGTCGAAGGTCGAAAGGTCAAAAGGTTGAGGGTCCATTTTATAATTTTAGAACCATTTTGAAAGCTTCCAAATGCGGCAAAACAATTAGTTTTGCTCTCAAAACTGAAACATTTCGCCTATGGCTATAATATATGTAGTGACAGTTTTGCTTGAGGAACTAAAAGTCTGATGCAAGGTTTGATGTTTGAAAGTTCACGTATTTTATTATACATTGCATTTTAAAACATACAAACATGGCCTGGGCGATGATCAGAGGTGATGTTACGAAATTTGCGTTTCGCTCTCCTGAGAAATTTGATTATAAGAGGCTGTTTATATGGTCCCGCCTACCCGGGATTCAATGAAGTGTGACGTATTTAATTTTGATCGAGCATTTGAAATACGTGTTTCAGCCCTAAAAAGTTAGATAACTTTAAGTATCTTTTAAACGAAATTAGGAATGCGCGAGAAGTTATGTAGTGGAACTGTGGAAGACGATTAATAGCATTCAACAACATTTGATTTTTTGACATGGAATTTCATACAAATGTATAACCACAGGCGGCCCAATCTTAAAATGAATGATCAGGTGTTGCGGGTTTTTAACGGTTTTTATAAACAAATTTATAGTCAACCAAGACTATTCTAAAAACATTCTCAAATTAGTCAAATAAATACATTTTAACAATAAAATATAGTTGATGATACATGATAGTATAATACCTTGACATTCTTTTAATTACTCCATGAGCTCATTTAGAGCGGTTGATGAAACATTTTCTGTGGCCTACATTGTGTGTTCTCATTACTGTATATATAATATAACAGGAAAAGGCTAATCGTTGGCGGCCCGACCGCATCGCCTTCAAAGTCAAATGTCTCGGCTCAAATTTGTCGCACGGCAAAACAAATTCGATTACATCTTTTCACAAAGATTTCTCTTTCTAAATAATATGGTTTGATCGTATCTTGGGGAAATTTAGCGACGAACGGAACCAAAATCTCCTCAATTTCGGATATTTTCATAATACTTAATTAAAGCTACTCTTAGCTTTCAAAATACTTAAACCTGCTATATGTTGCACCTGTTGTGATAATGAAGATTCCCTCTTAACTATCTTTCGTTTAATTTATGCTTTCAGAAAACACTCTAGTGTTAAATCTAAGCCTATAACTATCAAATCCCGCAGTTATAAAAATTTTGATGAAACTTCATTCAAGCATGATACTGATGCTATTCCTTGGCAGTACATAGTTTCCTTAGATGATCCTATAAATGCTTGGCAAATTTGGAAAAAACTATTTCTTGATGTTGCTGATAAGCATGCTCCAGTCAAACAAAGAAGAATAAGGAAAAATTGTGCCCCATGGCTCTCTGTTGAAATCAAGAAATTAATATGGCAACGAGATCGATTAAAACGTAAATCAGTTTATACTAATGATGAAAATGACTGGGTCAATTTTAAAACAGCTAAAAATCTAGTTAACTATAAAATTAGAGATAGTAAAAAGCAATATTACAATTTTTTGTTTCTTCTCAACGTAGGTCGAACTAAAGAAACTTGGAATGGTATCAACAGTCTTCTTTATAAATCTAAAAATTCAACTACTATACCAAAAATCTTGCAAGATGAAATCGAAATTACTGACCCAGTAACTAGTAGCAATATTTTTAATAAGCACTTCACTGAAATCGGACCTAAATTAGCAACGCAAATTCCAACAACTGGTGCGGCCTCTTATAACATTCCACAATGTAATGAAGTTTTTGAATTACATGAAGCTACTCCATCTCAAATAGATGGACTAATTTATTAATTATCGACTTCTAAGGCTAGCGGTCTTGATAACATTCCTGTTCGTTTATTAAAACTAATTAATTTCACTACTGTGGTTTCACTTACTCACATTATTAATCTAGTAATTCGCAAGGGAATCATTCCCGCTGACTGGAAGTGTGCCAGGGTATCAGCAATTTATAAACATGATTCAAAACTAGATTTGAATAATTGTAGGCCTATTTCAGTCCTTCCAGTAGTTTCAAAAATTTTTGAAAAAGTTGTCTTTGACCAAGCATATGCCTTTTTAAACAAAAACAACCTTTTATCTGACATACAGTCAGGATTTAGACCTCTTCACTCAAGGTTAACAGCTAAGCTTGATGTCACTGATAAATGGTACACTAACATGGACAGTGGGTTAATAAATGCTGTCTTATTCACTGATTTAAAAAAGGCTTTTGATACCATTGATCATAACATTTTACTACAGAACGGTTTCAACAAAGAAACGATTGATTTTTATAGAAACTATCTTTCTGATCGTACTCAAATAATAGTTATTAACAACATACGATCTGATACTCGTAAAGTAACATGTGGAGTTCCTCAGGGGTCTATCTTAGGTCAACTACTGTTTTTAATAAATATAAACGACCTACCTATTAGTGAATTGGTATCTGATGGGCGTTTATTCGCTGATGATATCAACTTGACTTTTGCGGACAGCAACCCTGAAAAGTTGATTATTGTTCTAAATGACGACCTTAAAACTCTCCAAAACTGGCTTAACCTGAATAAACTAAGCCTGAATGCGATTAAAACTAAAAGTATGTTTATGGCATCCAGGCAGAAATTAAGTACTATTCCTGAAGAACCTAATATTGCTATCTTCGGAAGAAAAATTGAAATAGTTAGATCTTATAAGTGTTTAGGTTTAAAACTGGACGAGGGTTTGACATGGGAGCATCATGTTTCTACTATAATCCTCAAAGTCTCCAAGGTGATTGGAGTTCTACGAAGACTAAAACCATTGCTCCCACAGTCAACTCTTGTCATGATCTATAACTCTTTAGGACAGCCATACTTTGATTATTGTAGTATTGCCTGGTATAGCCCAGGTAAGCTGAGGGTCTTGGACAAAAGTTACAGCGATTACAGAATAGGAATGCAAGAATTATTACTGAATCTGATTATGAAATCCGGTCATCAGATATTTTAACATCATTGAATTGGACCAACCTTGAAACCAGACGTACCCAACAGTTCAAAACTTTTATGTACAAAACTGTTAATAATATGGTCCCTAGTTACTTGTCTGGAAAATTTACTTCCACGTCAATGATACATGAACATAGTTTGCGTGCATGGATCTAATCATAAACTTTTTGTACCAAGGCCCTTAACGGAATCTTTGAAGAAAAGTTTTTCCTATTGAGGAGCTACCCTATGGAATGACATACCCGTCGAACTCACTAGAGTTCAATCTCTCGCTGAGTTTAAATCTAAAATATCTTAATATTTCTTTTATATTAGTTGCTTTGCATGTGTAGTTTGTTACTTTTGTAATATAGTTTGATACTTTTTTATTAGTAATTAGTCTTCTAGTATAGGTAAACGTTTCCATTGAAGAACACATAACATAACCTGTGAAATGGACCTCGTGTTTTAAAAGTCTTCAAAGAGATTACTATTATTTCAGTAATTGCAGGAATTACATTTACTTCTTTTATTCTCACTGTCAATTACAATTAGGAATACGTAAAAACTCGATCTCTTCAGGATTTTGAACCCTTTTGAGTTAAAATATATGGGGAGATTACTTAGTTATCCTTCTAGGTCTCGAAGCCCTCAACTGCCAACATGCATGACAACATTGACAATGAGCCAGAACTAGCAAATAAACCTTGAGACCCTTCCATACATTATTGCGAAGTTAATGCACATTAATAAAACAAACTGTTACACGTCTCTCATCGAGTTCAATGATAATGAACAACGTTGAAACAACCGAACTTCTGCATGCAATTATCATGATCCAAGTTCAACATTGAGTTGGAGAGCTGGGGTTTCAAATTAAGAAGCGCAGTTTGATTCAACATAGAATCTATTAGAAAGGTATCCAAATTTTTATAGAGTGATGGTAGCGTCGACCAATTATATCCAAGATTGCAGATTTTTGTATTCACTCTAATTTTCAACAATTCAGTAAAGAATTTTATCCCCGAGCCGACGGCGCGGAGCGCCGTGCGAGGGTGCTAATTCCCCCCGGCTATTTACACGCAGGGAAACGAAAGCATTAGCGAAGTCTAAAGTTCATCAAATATCGCGGGCGTGGGTTACGGGGCGTGGTCGTCATCCTCACAGATCTCCAAAATATGGCAGACTGTTATGAATAGCGAACACTGTGATTGGTCCAATTTAAAATTTCCATTATAACGACTACATGACGACAGCGAAATAGCAAACATATATTTCATTGTTGCTCGCATTTTTGCAAGATTTTGTAAATTTCAAGAAAGAAAGGGCGAAAGAATCGGCTAAAAGAAGGGAGCCGACGTTAACGAAGGTAAGTTTGTTTTAAATATTGATTTTATAATTGCTTTAAAACCCAACGGCCTTTGCGTATTTGACACAAATAAACAATACAGCATATAATTTCATTGTATCTTTAATATTGATTCCCTTTTTTATTATATTGAATTTTTTACAAAAAAAAAGAAAACAAAGTTATTTGCATGCGAGAATTTGAAATCATTTTATTGCAAACTCAAAGTTTATCGATAAAGCCAATTAATTAAATGCAGTTTTATAGTTTTATAAAGAACACTTTAAAACGGTTTGCGAAGCGTTTGTGGTGCTTAAATTTTACATCAAATTGAAGCTTAATTACATATAATACCATACCTGACATATATACGGGGTGTATAAAAAAAAGTAAGACAATTTTGAAATTGCTCTCAATTCCACAATTCTGTTCATGAAATGTAATTTTTTATATGTATGGATTGCTTGAGTTCTTAAATTATGGAAAATATAAAAAAAATTAAAAATAGTAAATTTTGTTATCCAGGGGGGTGTTCAACTTTTGCTCTCCCTAAAGTGGCTTGCACACGGAAATGACAAACGGTATTCTTTATTTGAGTTCATGTATGAAAAGTTCGCAATCTGTTGCATTTATGATAAAATTTCGGCAGGATTTTACCGAGCACAAATACTTCGAAAAGCCAATGAAAACGTGACATTTTTCTCTGTTGGTGCTGTTCTTGCTACATTATGAGTTCATTTTTACTCGCATGAGAGTTCCATGGAATTTCCATGGAATTTGTGCTTTCGAGTTGTTTGTGCTAAAACGCATTCTCTCGTATAATACCCCGTACACTTTGAAATGGCGATGCCACAATTTACCCCGCAGCAGAGAGCTTTTATGATATCAGAATTCCTCCATAGCAACAACATAAACTTGGTTCGCCAAAGTTTCACGAACAAATATCCAGATGTACGATGCCCTTCACGTATTCGCACGTGAAGGGCATCGTACATATGGATATTCTTCGGATCCCTTTCGCGACTTCCTGACGCGGTTCCAGTCAAGGTTCCTGGCGCTGAGGACAAGGCTACTGGTGCTGATTACAAGATTCCTGACGCAGAGGACAAGGTTCCTGTAGCTGAGGACAAGGCTCCTGGCGCTGACGACAAGGTTCCTGGCGCTGAGAACAAGGTTTCTGGCGCTGGATACAATGTACGAGGCGCCGAGGTCAAGATTCCTGCCGCTGATGATTAGGTTCCGGGCGATAAGGACAAGGCTCCTGCCGCTGAGGGCAAGGTTCCTGGCGCTGTGTACAAGGTCCCTGGCGCTGAGGAGAAGGTTCCTGGCGTTGAGAACAAGGTTCTTGTCGCTGAGGACTAGGTTCCTGCCGATGAGTACAAGGTTCCTGTCGCTGAGGACAAGGTTCCTGGCGTTATGAACAAGGTTCCTACCGCTGAAAACAAGGTTCCTGGCGCTGAGAACAAGGCTGCTGGCGCTGATGACAAGGTTCCTGGCGCTGACGACAAGGCTCCTGGCGTTGGAGACAAGGTTCCTGTCGCTGAGGACAAGGTTCCCGCCCCTGAGGATAAGGTTCCTCGCGCTGAAGACAAGGTTCTTGCCACTGAGGACAAGGTTCCTGCCGATGAGGACAAGGTTCCTGGCGTCGAGGTCAAGGTTCCTGCCGCTGATGACTAGGTTCCGGACGCTGAGGACAAGGTTCCTGGCGCTGTGTACAAGGTCCCTGGGGCTTAGGAGAAGGTTCCTGGCGTTGAGGACAAGGTTCTTGTCGCTGAGGACTAGGTTCCTGCCGATGAGTACAAGGTTCCTGTCGCTGAGGACAAGGTTCCTGGGGTTAAGGCAAAGGTTCCTGCCGCTGAGGAAAAGGTTCCTGCCGCTGAATACAAGGTTCCTGGCGCTGATGACAAGTTTCCTGGCGCTGAAGACAAGGTTCTTGGCGCTCAGGGCGAGGTTCTTATCGCTGAGGAATAGGTTCATGCCGATGAGTACAAGGTTCCTGTCGCTGAGGACAAGGTTTCTAGCGCTGAGGACAAGGCTCCTGGCGCTGATGAGAAGTCATCTGGCGCTGAGGAAAAGACTTCTGGCGCTGAGGAAAAGGCTTTTGACACTGAGAACAAGGTTCCTTCCGCTGAGGACAAGGATCCTGGCGGTGAGGAAAAGAGTCCTGGCACTGAGCACAAGGGTCCTTGCGCTGAGGACAAGGCTCCTGGCGCTAATGACAAGGTTCCTGGCGCTGAGTACAAGGCTCCTGGCGTTGGAGACAAGGTTTCTGTCGCTGAGGACAAGGTTCCTGGCGCTCTGGACAAGGTTACAGGGGCTGAGGACAAGGTTTCTGCCGCTGATGACAAGGTTCCTGCCGCTGAGGACAAAGTTCCTGTCGCTGAGGGCAAGGCTCCTGGCGCTGAGGACAAGGCTCCTATCGCTGAAGAGAATGCTTTTGGCGCTGAGGAAAAGGCTTCTGGCGCTGAGGAAGGGTTTCTGGAACTGAGAACAAGGCTCCTGGCGCTGAGGAAAAGAGTCCTGGCGCTGAGGAAAAGGGTCCTGGCGCTCAGCAGAAGGCTCCTGGCGATGAGGACAAGACTCCGGGCGCTGAGGACAAGGCTCCTGGTGCTGATGACAAGGCTCCTGGCGCTGAGGACAAGGCTCATGGCGCTGATGGCAGGAGCCGCTGAGGACAAGGTTCCTGGCGCAGATGACAAGTTTCCTAGCACTGAGGACAAGGTTACTGGGGCTGAGGACAAGGTTCCTGCCGCTGACGACAAGGTTCCTGCCGCTGAGGACAAGGTCCCTGTCGCTGAGGACAAGGTTCCTGGCGCCGAAGAGAAGGCGTCTGGCGCTGAGGAAAAGGCTTCTGGCGCTGAGGAAAAGGCTTTTGACACTGAGCACAAGGTTGCTGCCGCTGAGGACAAGAATCCTGGCGCCGAGGAGAAGGGTCCTGGCACTGAGGAAAAGGCTCCTGGCGCTGAGCACAAGGCTCCTTGCGCTGAGGAGAAGGCTCCTGGCTCTGATGACAACGCTCATGGCGCTTAGGACAAGGCTCCTGGCGCTGAGGACAACGTTCCTGTCGCTGAGGACAAGACCCCTGACGCTGAGGACAAGGTTCCTGGTGCTGAGGACAAGATTACAGGGGCTGAGGACAAGGCTCCTATCGCTTAAGAGAATGCTTCTGGCGCTAAAGATAAGGCTTCTGGCGCTGAGGAAAGGCTTCTGGAACTGAGAACAAGGCTCCTGCCGCTGAGGACAAGGTCCTGGCGCTGAGGAAAAGAGTCCTGGCGCTGAGGAAAAGGGCCCTGGCTCTGAGGACAAGCCTCCTGGCGCTGAGGACAAGGCTCCGGGCGCTGAGGACAAGGCTCCTGGCGCTGATCACAAGGCTCATGGCGCTGAGGACAAGGCTCATGTGCTGATGACAAGGTTCCTGTCGCTTAGAACAAGGTTCCTGGCTCTGAGGACAAGTTTCATGTCGCTGAAGAAAAGGTTCCAGGCGCTCAGGGCAAGGTTCTTGTCGATGAGGACTAGGTTCCTGACGATGAGTACAATGTTCCTGGCGTTGAGGACAAAGTTACTGGTGCTGACTACAAGGTTCCTGCCGCTGAGGACAAGGTTCCTGCCGCAGAGAACAAGGTTCCTGCCGCTGAGTACAAGGTTCCTGGCGCTGAGGACTAGTTTCTTGGCGCTGAAGAAAAGGTTCCTGGCGCTCAGGGCGAGGTTCTTGTCGCTGAGGACTAGGTTCCTGGCGATGAGAACAAGGTTCCTGTCGCTGAAGACAAGGTTCCTAGCGCTGAGGACAAGGCTCCTGGCGCTGAAGACAAGTCGTCTGGCGCTCAGGAAAAGGCTTCTTTACGCTGAGGAAAAGGCTTTTGACACTGAGAACAAGATTGCTCCGCTGAGGACAAGGATCCTGGCGCTGAGGAAAAGGGTCCTGGCACTGGGGAAAAGGCTCCTGGCGCTGAGCACAAGGCTCCTTGCGCTGATGACAAGTTTCATGGCGCTGAGGACAAGGCTGCTGGCGCTGAGGACAAGGTTCGTATCGCTGAGGACAAGGCCCCTGGCGCTGAGGACAAGGTTCCTGGCGCTGAGGACAAGATTACAGGGGCTGAGGACAAGGCTCCTATCGGTTAAGAGAATGCTTCTGGCGCTAAAGAAAAGGCTTCTGGCGCTGAGGAAAGGCTTCTGGCACTGAGAACAAGGCTCCGGGCGCTGAGGACAAGGCTCCTGGTGCTGATCACAAGGTTCCTTGTGCTAAGGACAAGGTTCATGGTGCTGATGACAGGGTACCTTGCTATGTGGACTAGGTTTCTAACGCTGAGGATAAGGTTCTTATCGCTTAGGGCAAGGTTCCTAGCGCTGAAGACAAGGTTCCTGGCGCTGAGGACATGGTTCCTGGCGCTGAGGACAAGGTTCCTTCCGCTGAGGACAAGGTTCCTGCCGCTGAAAACAAGGTTTGTTCCGTTGAAGACAAGGTTCCTGGCGCTGAGGACAAGGGTAGTGGTGCTGAGGACCATGTTCCCACGGGTGAGGACAAGGTTTCTGCCGCTGAGGTCAAGGTTCCTGCCGCTGAAAACAAGGTTCCTGCCGCTGAGGACAAGGTTCCTGGCGCTGAGGACAAAGTTCCTGGCGCTAAAGACAAGGTTCCAGGCGCTTTGGGCAAGGTTCTTGTCGCTGAGTACTAGGTTACTGACAATGAGTACAAGATTCCTGTCGCTGAAGACAAGGTCCCTGGCGCTGAGGACAAGGTTCCCGGCGCTGAGGACAAGGTTCCTGGCTCTGAGGAGAAGGTTCCTGGCGCTGAGGAAAAAGTTCCTGGCCCTGAGCTCAGGGTTTCTGGCCCTGAGCTCAGGGTTCCTGGCGCTGAGGACAAAGTTACTGGCGGTGAGGACAAGTTTTCTGCCGCTGAGGATAAGGTTTCTCCCGCTTAGGACAAGGTTTATGGCGCTGAGGGCAAGGTTTCTGATTATGAGGGCAAGGTACCTAGCGCTGGGAACATGGTTCCTGGCGCTTAGGACAAGGTTCCTGCCGCTGAGGATATGGTTTCTGTCACTGAGGATAAGGCTCCTCCCGCTGAGGACAAGGTTCCTTTGGCTGACGACAAGGTTCGTTCCACTGAGGAGAAGGTTCCTGGCGCTGAGGACAAGGTTACTGCTGCTGTGGGCATGGTTCCTGGCGCTGAGGACAAGGTTTCTCTCGCTGAGGACAAGGTTCCTGGCTTTGAAGACAAGGTTTCTGTCGCTGAGGACAAGGTTCCTGGCGTTGAGGACAAGGTTCCTGTCGCTTAGGACAAGGTTCCTGCCGCTGAGGACAAGGTTCCTGCCTCTGAGGACAATGTTTCTTGGCGCTGAGGACAAGGTTCCTGGCGTTGGAGACAAGGTTTCTGTCGCTGAGGACAAGGTTCCTGGCGCTCTGGACAAGGTTACAGGGGCTGAGGACAAGGTTTCTGCCGCTGATGACAAGGTTCCTGCCGCTGAGGACAAAGTTCCTGTCGCTGAGGGCAAGGCTCCTGGCGCTGAGGACAAGGCTCCTATCGCTGAAGAGAATGCTTTTGGCGCTGAGGAAAAGGCTTCTGGCGCTGAGGAAGGGTTTCTGGAACTGAGAACAAGGCTCCTGGCGCTGAGGAAAAGAGTCCTGGCGCTGAGGAAAAGGGTCCTGGCGCTCAGGAGAAGGCTCCTGGCGATGAGGACAAGACTCCGGGCGCTGAGGACAAGGCTCCTGGTGCTGATGACAAGGCTCCTGGCGCTGAGGACAAGGCTCATGGCGCTGATGGCAGGAGCCGCTGAGGACAAGGTTCCTGGCGCAGATGACAAGTTTCCTAGCACTGAGGACAAGGTTACTGGGGCTGAGGACAAGGTTCCTGCCGCTGACGACAAGGTTCCTGCCGCTGAGGACAAGGTCCCTGTCGCTGAGGACAAGGTTCCTGGCGCCGAAG